CGATTCCTGGCAGCCCGTGCTGGGATGTGTGGATCGTTCTCTTGTGGATGTGCATGAATAGCTGTGCTGCAGTGTGGCTGTGTCTGCTCTGCCTGTTCCTTCCTGCTGTGTAAGGGTTATTTATGGATTTAGCATGACTGGCATAGCTGCTGTCTTTGCACTTTACTGCCTGAACTCTACTGTTCAGTCTTTTTATTTTGAGCCTATATTTTAAGGAAATGGAACCGCATTTTTGTACGTGTTTTTAACTTTTATTAAATAAAATGTATGTAACGTGACTGGTTTTAAATGATAAAAAATAACGTATATTTTCAGGTTTCCTAGGTCTCCACTCCAGAATTGTGTAAATCCTTCTGGATAAGTTGTGTGTCTAGGCCAGTGAATGACTTTGGGGCTTGCTAGTTCACTTATCTGTAAAGACAGGATTTTTTGGATCTCACTCGTTTATAATTGTACACCACTCATCTTGTGTATTTGGTAGAAGGTGCACACCCCCACCAAGGCTTGGGGCTTCTGTGGGCTCTGGGAGCAAGACTTGCTGGGTCCACAGCCTCCAGCATCTGTGAGCAGAAGGGATGTGCTGGGTGCTGCTCTGTGAGTGAATGCTCATGGTGTGAATGCTGGAAATAAGGCACAGGCAAGAATTTAACTCAAAAGATGTCTGTGTTAGCCCCAGGTCTTCCTTCTCTGGTGGGGAAGTGGCAGGCTGGATGTTACCTCCCAGTCTCAGCTGAGAAGGAGGTGTCCAGCAATGGTGACAGCAGCAGCAACTACCTAAATTTTTATGCTTTTTTCCTCTGCTGTTTGAGCTGTTATCTTAACTGCAGAAGTGTTTGTTTCCAGCAGGAAGGGAGAAGGTGTAATGATTGCAGCTTTTGGTCACAGCCTTTCACTGCAAGGTGGCTCAGTCTCTGCAGGCAGAGCCCTTGGAGAGCAACCTGGGAGCAGCGACWCCAGGCTTTGAACACAGAGCAGCACATTGTTCTTGCAGGTGTTAGGAAGGGGAAAAGAGAGGATCTCATGGATGGCTCTGCTTCCCCCTCAGGAGAACAACTGGAAGGGAAGGCTTAGGTGCAGGATCAATGCTCTGGCAGAGTAGCACAAACTCTTCAGCCCCTGGGGTCTGGAAGCTGCCACAGAGCTTTTGTCTCCCAGGGAGGATGTTCTACCTGTCCCTACTACTGTTTTTCWAGAAGATTTTTCTGAGCATCCAATTATATCCCTAAGAATACTTGTTTGGGTTTTTTTGCCAGTTTTGCCAATTTTGTTTCTCTGGCTTWGTTTATATGAAACATGGCAATGGATTTCACAGTCTGTGCTTATCTTATTGCTCTTCCTTAGAACCAGGATGAGGTCTGAGCTGTTCCATGCAGCCAGGGGGTGCATTCAGTACACACATCCTAATGGGGCTGGAGTCGAGCAGCTTCATCCCACAAGAGAGAAAACAGCCTGCACACAAGGAAGCCTTCCCCCTTTGCTGCACAAACATTGTTGAGGGCAAGTCTTTTGAAGCCATTCTAAATCCATGAAAACCAGATCATTTTCTAAAGGAAAATGCATTTGTGCTCAAATGTGTCTATGGGCTTAATGTTTCATTTTGCAGTCAGAGTGGCATTGCTTGTTACACCACCCTGCGTGGTTGTGCAGCTAAACCCTGGGCTGAGCAGCAGCTTGAGTTATCCTACAAACCAATGAGCACTGATCCTTCTGAAGTCTGGGCACTGGAAAAGTGAATCCRTTCTGATGCTGGCACAGGTGCCCTGTGCTGCTGGGTGGTCTTTGGCTAACTCCAGCTGTGAAAGCTGTACTCCACATCCTTCCTCTGGGATCTCATGAGCTGAGTCCTGCCTCAAGGTTGTCTGAACTCTCTTGAGTTCATCTGYGGGGATAAATCTGAGTGGTTTTGAAGTTTAATCTGTGAGCCCATCTGCCTGTTTACCTCCCATTCATGTCTGGCAAGGCAGCTTGAGGCAGGCASGCTGTGGCTGTGAGAAGGCAAACTATTTCCATGTGTGCAGAAAGAATAAATCATGACTCAAAACCCAGCAACCTGCAGGCTGAGGAAATGGTGAGACATTCAGGAGGAAGCTGCAAGGCCTCAGCCACATCTCACAGTCACTGTCCTGGGTTTCCCTTCCCTGGAATATGTTAGCACTGAGCCATTTTCTTTCCAGATTGCTTTCATCCTCTGTCAAATGCAGCTTTCTTAATTTTCTGCTTCAGTCCTCGAGTGTAGGAGTAGGAAATTGATGACTTTTATGTTATGATATGTGCAGAAGGCCATGGGCATGTCTTAAAAACATGCAGAAAACTTGAGAAAGCTGGAGCWTAGCCTTTCCTGGGAGAGTTTGTCCCAGATGGGAAGAATACCTTAATTGTCTGCCCTGTAGCATCTCAAGTTCAGAGGGACTTCCATTGGTTATCACTGCCCAGATTAACCCACTTCACCCTGTGCAAGTAATTGCCACGTTCTGTGTCCAGAGGGGAGCGAGGGGGAGCCCTGCTCTGAATGTGCTACACCTTCCTGGCAAATCTGGGGAGCTCCAGGAGGTTCCTGTGGCACAGCTCCAGGCCTGCACCTGGCTGGGACAAGGGCTCTGTTTCAGCAAGGTTCTTTTGCTCCTTTTGGATAGTGTAAATTGCAGCATATAGCATTTGTCTTTGTTAAATGAATAATGTAGTGATTTGGTTAAAACACTTGCCTTTTGCTGATTTATTAATGGAGATTAATAGTGTCAGCTCAAAAGCCATTGTCAGCTATCCTTTCTTGTGCTGCGGGTATTGAACAGCAGGGTAGTTTCCAAAATGATGAATAACACTTTCAGAATCCTGCTTAATTCCAGCAAACTGTTTTAGTGACAGGAACTACTAGCAAGCTGAATAATTTTTTGTCCTTCAAGCAATTGTGACTTGATGGTGGTTATAGAGAAATACCATGAAAAGAAAACAAACTTACAATTCATCTGGTAGGTTATCAGCTCCATGAGATGTGGCAAAGTGATCTCTGTAGTGCAACAGTCCTCTTTTTAAAAAAGCCATTAATTCAAGAAGTTTCTTTTAAAATTAGTTGTGGGCACAGCTGCTGCTTCCATACCATTATTTTCCTGCAAATGATCTGGTGTCCTGTTTTCCCTGAGCAAAGGATGGACCAAAAGCAGAGTTACACTGACACCAGGTAATTAAACTGTAATTGTGCCTTCCTAGGCAGCAGSCCCACTGCCACTGTCGTTTTTAGCATGCAGGTTTGATGCAGGGGGAGGAGCACATTCCCCATGCATTCCTGGACAGCCTGGGAACCCAGCTGGGTATCACCAACCTGTTCTGCATGGTATGACTGTGAGACAGGCTGTGAGCTGTCTATGCTGGCTGGCTCTGGTCTGAGCTCAGAGCTGAGCATACATTGTTCCATGGCACAGAGAAAGCCTGCAAGACCATGCCACCATCTGAGGCCCATCCCATACCCAAACTTCTTTCTTGCACCTTTTCCCTGGTGCAGTGACTGTCCCAGCTGCATCCCTCCTTTCTGAACCTTCCTGTGTTCCTGCAGCTCCTCCTTTTCTGTTGGTGATGCTGAGAAGGTTTTCTGTGAAACCCACTGCACCTTTGTTCCAGGTACAGAAATGTGCTTGTCTCTTGGTTATTTTAGAAGCTCATTTTGTAAAACAGCTCAGTGCTGTGCTGTGTTCAGTCTAGACAGAATTTTTGCAACCTAACGGTATGTTAAGTTTAGGTGGTTTCTACTTAATTGTGAATACTTCAGCTTTCCTTCAGGAGAGCTTGAACTGGGTTTTAGAGCTGTTACCTGGGCCAGTCACCAAACACAGCCTCAGACAGAGAAGCTCTGTGAGGGCAGGCAGGGCACATGCGGAACATCCTGGGGGAAGCACAGCCCTGCTCCCTGCCTGCTCCTGTCACAGCGTGCTCTGACAGCCGTGCTGCTTCTCTCTGGTTTGCTGTGTCATTGGAGACCACCCAAAAAGGCAGCAATCCACTGGCCCTGCCCTCACAAAAGGGGAGCTGTGATTGGGCTCATCAAAATATCTCCCTCACTCTGGGSACCTTGACAGAAGGAAGGTCTTAGTTGAAAGAATGAAATCCAAATTGAAAGAAAATCTAAACCACTACAGTGAATAGAAAAGAATATAGAGTACCATGGTCCCCTGTGGTGCTGGGATCACTGCTCTGGTGTTTTTTCTGCTCTCCACAGGCAGGTTCTGTTCATCCCAATAGGTCTTTGAGAGCTGCTGAAAACTAACACAAGCTCTAGGAGATTTGGTGAATGGCCTCTTGACACACTGCAGAGAAACAATGKTCCTGCCACAGCTCAGTGGCATTAATRGTTCTAAAAATTACYSTTCCTGTCAAAAAATGAAGTGTTAYTGTTCAAAATCAGATTTTCTTTTCAGGAGGGTTAGAGAGCCATTGCTCCAGAGGRCCCACCCAACTTCTCCCAGCAATGCAAGGACATCTGCTCTCTACTCCAGCTATTTCTGGGCCACTGAGGTATCACAGAATGGCCTGGGTTGGAAGGGACCTTAATGATCATCCAGTCCCAACCCCCTGCCACAGGCAGGGAAATCTTCCACTAGACGAGGTTGCTCAGAGCCCCATCCAACCTGGCTTTGAACACTTCTAGGAATGGGACATCCCATCCACTGTTCCAGTACCTCAGCAACCCCACAGTGAACATTTTCTTCCATATGTTCAACTTGAATCTGCACTCTATCAGTTTAAAACCACTGTACCTGGTCCTACAGATGTGCCCCTGCTGGTGTGCTGGGAGCTTCAGCTTGCAGGGGTGCACAGATTTGTGAGAGGCTGGCTCCCTCCCCACTGCCCWCCCTGCCCAGCTCCCAGGCACAGCACAATGCCCAGCCTTGCTGAATGAAGSCTGCTGCAAGGAAGAGCTGGGCTGTGAGCCCTGTGCCAGGGGTGTGCCCTGCTCATGGCATCCCCCTGCCATCCTCCAAAGGTGCATCATGCTCAAACTCTGCAGGAACCAGAGGATGATTTCCCAAATAAGCCAGAGAGCCTTTTTCAGAACATTTGATGCCTTCACTGAGRGCTACATAGAGTACAGATGCATTTAATTGTGTTTTACAGGTCTCAGGAATCACAAAGTACTTCAAATACAGCATCTTAAGAAGTGTCCTGCAGTTTGCTCTTGCATTTACACATAGTTAAGATTTCAAATACTGCCTTTTATGCTTCAGCTGAAGATATTTTTCTGTTTCTGATAATAAGCATATACTCATAATATGTTAAGACGCAGGTATAATAAAAGCAGAAACCCGAAATACCAGGCTTCCCTGTCTGGGAGCACTGAAAATACTATTTGCTTAGGAGAGATAACTTTCTGTTTTACTTTGCAGTCAGCTGATAGTAAAATGTAGTGATTTTTTTTATAGGACAAGAAATATAAGGAAAGGCCAGGAGTGGCAATTGTGAAAAATGATCACAAAAACAGCTGCTCTACAAGAGCATGCARGTCCCTCTCAAGGTGGATGATTGAAATGAGAATGTGCCTCCTGCTTTCACTGGATGGATCCATGACAAGGAGCCCCAGGTAAAGCTCCTGTGCTGGGATCCTGCCCCACAGTGACCATACAAATYCTGTGTTCCCTGATGGCTCCTGGGAGCCTAATCTGCTTGTGTGGTGGTATTTGAACTCTGGGATTACACTGCCTATGTACTGGATGGTGGGCTCAGYCCCCTTTTCCTCTCATCTTCCATACTGGGGACCAGATTGAAAGAGTGCCAAATTCAGACCTGGACCTGAGGCCTGCACAGTGCAAGGAGTACATTTGGCACATTTTAAGTGGCTGGAACATGAATTTAATTCAACATGCCCTTAARTAAATTCTGGATCAAATGTTATTGCTGCATTTTTCTTGCTAAGTCAAAGCAAGATCTTCCTTCAAAGCACCACACTTCAACASCTCTAGTATGACACCTCAATTCTAGTACATGTTCATTTATAAACAGCATTTGGAATTGAGCTTCTAAATTTTGATTCTTAAGATGAATTGGTCCCTCTTTCAGTGACACCAATCAGAGATCAGCAGTTGGTGATGATCYTCACGCTCCCACTCAGAATCCATCAGGTGAACTTTCTGCTGCGGTGCTTCYCAAGCAGCCACGCTCCTCTGAGCTCCACCAGCCCCTCTCCTGTGCTGTCTCGCTGTGTGAGGCATTGTTTTGTCAGCAGTTCTGCTCCAGCTGGGATTCCAGGGTCACGCCTGACGTTCTCGTGGCGTGGGACCGGACTCAGCGGCAGTACTCCCGCTCAATGCTCGCCATGAGCTCCTCCTCTGAGTAATCATACAATATTGTGGATTGTCCCAATGGCTTCTTGTTGCTTTCTGGGCACCTGTCATGGAAGGGAATGAGTCAGTGGTGTCATGAGAGAGAATCAGGCTCTGAAGATACAAGAAGAGCCTTACTTTTTTTTTTTTTTTTTTTTTTTTTTTTTTTTTTTTTTTTTTTTTTTTTTTTTTTTGAATGGAAAGATTGAGCTGCATGTGGCTCGCTGAGACGCAGATACTCTGTCATGTCTAGTTCCCACACCCCACTGGCACATTGCCTGCTGACATCTGCCATCACTTGGCACTATTTTAGTGTGTGAGTTCATTATAGTACAACCCTCTCAATGCTCCAGATCAAGCTCCCAGAACCTTTCAATGAGTTAGGTTTCAGGCCCAGCTAAAGGACTGTGTAAACTTTCGGCTACTTTTAAGGTTTCATGCAGAAACTGATTATTTTGTTTGGGATCTGAGTTTCAACCAAAACACAAATGCAGCTCCCCAGGCTGCTCTCAYGGCTTTTATTTGTTTCCACATCAGCACAGCTCTCCCATAAGCAGGAACTGATGTATGACTCAAAGGGAACTGCTAGGGGGTTTATTGGTGTTGTCAGAACTGGTTTACATTGGGTACATGAGAGAAATCTGTCCCTACCCGCATAAGGGAGAACAGTGAAAAGTCTTCTGCAGGCTTTGAACACTATACCTCATGCTATCAATTAAGTCCACTTGATCGTGCCCTCCAGGACTCAAGAGAGGAGCCAGCAGTGACAAATGAGTGCTCCTCCTTGCCCTGTACAGATCTGGGAGGTGAGTATGCTGGACTGCCAGACTTGTTTCTGGAAGCTGGAGCACATGGCTCCTTGGAGGTCACAGTGAGGTGCAGAGCTAAGTAGAGAATTGAGCTGGTAAATCCAAACTCTGAAGGTCTCTGCMATGCCATGTCAACCAAGACTTTGTGACTACCCACTAGTGAAGAACAAGTAAACAAGAAATAAATGGTCCTGTGTGTCAGTTCGTTGCCAAAGAGGAGAGATTTCCATATCTACCAGCATGGCTCCAGATCTGTCCCAGACTCACCATGTATTATCTGTTGAATTACCATTCCTAAGGTGAGATCTATCCCAACCATTGCTCTTGCAACTGGGATGTATAAAATTCATCCATTAGCATCCTTTAGTGAAAAAAAACTGAGTACCTGTTTACTGGAAGAAATCACAGAAACTGGGCCAAAGCGGGTAAGTATGGACTCAGAATTTAAGAAAAGAGCTCTGAAATGCTTTTTTAGTGATGCTTTGTCCTACAGAGGAGGTGTTTTCATACTGCTCTCCTTGGGCCAGGGGCATCCTCAGTGTCCCTCCCACAGGCAGCAGCTGCAGAGTGGCCACAGTGCAGTGCAGCCCTCTCTCTGCYCTGACCTGCCCTGGCCCCTGAGGCTCCTGCCCATCCCTGCTCTGACCAAGCTGTGCTTGTGCTGCGGCCCCCGCATGCCAGAAATTGTCTGATATTTTCCCTGGAGTCACCCGATGGCCACCTGGTGACACTGAGTCGTGTGGGTGTTCTACACTCACACTGCACCCTGCCCTTGATGGCAAGTCCTACTAGCAGCAAGTAGGATTTAGCAACTGGACTCTTCAGCTTATTCCTTTTATTAATTCATTTTCCTGCTCCAGGGCTGCAGGCAATCTGATTTCCACTGCAGTAAATGAGACCTGAGAAGAAAGCTATAAGTCCAAGAGCTCCAAACCACACAGCAGCATTTGCAAAGCAAGAACGGGAAAAGGAAGTGCAGAAATCTGAGTTAAAACACACAATTTACTGATTTAAACTCCACATTGTGACCATCTTCTGACTAATATTATGTTACGTGAGGAAAGAGAGGCAGAGCTCCTGGCAGCTTGCTTGCAGGCCCACAGAAGAGCCATTGTTTCTCTTAGCAGTTACATAATTTCCCACTGTTAATTATTCTCGATGCTTTGGTTTGCATGGAGAAAATCTCCAGGTAAAACTCGTTGAGACACAGATGTGCTTTTGAAAAAACAAAAGCAAACTCCAGTTATCATGCATACCACAGAAACAAAAGRAAAAGAGAGGGCTCTGTTTCTTTCAAGAGCAAAGGAAAAGCACGCTGCTGTTCATACTATTTCTAGATTTGTGGCAAAGTTCTGTATCATTTAATATGGGAAAATTGAAATAAAATAAAAAATGAGAGCTTTAATCTGGATAAAAGCAGAAACTTCACCCTGAGGACAGCAAGCAGAGGAACAGGCTGTGTTTGGTTGCATGGGCTCAATCCTTGGAGGCTTTCAAGACCTGATGGGGCAAAGCCTGGAGCATTCTGCTTTGACTTCACAGCTGATCCAGCTTGGAGCTAGAGCGAGGAGATTGGACTGGAGACCTCCTGAGGCCATCCCAGCCTAAACCTCTGTCTCAAAGGCACCTTGGTGCAGCTGCTTCTGCTGATCCTAGAATTTAGTGAGAGACTGTAGCAGGGAAATCCCGAGCTCAGGACGTGCACAGGACAAAAGCTGGTGGCCCACAAGGCTGCTGCCATGCTCTGCAGCTCCTCCAGCTCCAGAGGAGACACCTTGCTGCTCTCCTCACCAGTGCTGCAGAGCAGGGCTTCAAACACACCGAGYCCAGCTGAGGGCTCTTGACCTTCCAGGCTGGAAAATAACGGGTCAGTACCTTGAGCAGAAAGATGTTCAAACCTCAGATGTTCTCAGGAAGGAGAGAAACCTGGGAAGGAGCAAAGCTGAGAGAGAAGGAGTTAGCTGAAAAGCATACAAGAGGGGAATTTGCAGCATGATAGGACATCAAGGAAAAAGAAGGTTAATGCAGCTCCCTCAGGATTGTGGGCAGGCTTCTGGGTGCCTCATTGCTAAAATGTTATTAACAGCCTGGAGGGAGTTTAGCAAGCACCAATAAGAGTGATTTAAGAGGCTAGAGCAAAACGATTTAKGAAAGAGAAAAGTGAGAAATGTGCTCCCTTGCAGCTACAGGCCTCTTGGTGTTTAAAGTTTCTTAAGGGAAGCAGGAATAATGGGTGGATTTCTTTGTTAAGTGTAAAAACAATGAACAATCCACCAGCAATGTGGAGAAGGAAAGGGCAAAATTAGACCAAAAGTGAGTAAAACTACCTTTGAGCAAGATCCCAGCAGTGGGGATGGCTGTCAGTGCCATATCCCCAGTGTCAGGCAGGTGCCTGGGGTGGGGGAGAGCTGCCTGCGGGCTCCTGTGACAATGGCTCTGATGGGTGACAAGCTCCGAGGCACAAACCTGAGTTAAGTGGCTGAAAACTAGGTTGGGGTGAATCTAGGCCAGCATTTTCTATCGTTCTGCTGAGGATGGGAAGTCCAGGGTTAATCATTAAAATGCCTTCTGCAAGACTTAGCAGCTGAAAAATGGGTCACAACAACAACGCCCCGSTAACTGTGCCAGTGACACGAGCCTTGGCAGCAATTATAGAATCGTGACCGTGCTCCTGGGCTGCCTCATCCACCCGTGAACCACCAGATGCTCGAGAGCAGCTCCCAAAAGATATTGGGGAGGGAGGCTGAGAGGTAACACAGCCCAGCCAGGAACACATCCAGCCGTGTTCCCATGCACACACAAAGGGTTTGTGGGGCTGCCTGGGACGCTGTGGTGTCACACGGGCATGTCCCAGCACAGAGTGCACGCCCACCTCTGTCTCGCGTGACTGCTCTCTTGACAGGCACTATTAAGTCTCTGTTTATAGTTTTTCTTCTCCTTCCTTGACATTTACTTCTCCTTTAATTGCCTTTATGGGAATTTCCTCAGTCAGCAACTCTATCAAGACAAGGCTGACTTTTGCTGTTTGTGAAGTGAGTGTTTACCTAGAATGATTCCAGCCACAGAAATGTGAAGGATGAGACACCTATGCACATTCACCTCTGTTTCTGTGGCTTAATTTGATTTTATGTCTTCACAATTTTGCTGGGTGCTGGGCCATTTCCAAAAAAATGTTTGCATAGTTATTGCCAGCAGAAATTGCAACCCAGCTTATCTCAGACAGTACAGACACTTCAAACGTGAGCTGTGCTATGGGGCTCTGCAGTGGGTATAAGAGAAATGTTATCTAAATGAAAATAAGCTCCTGCTCTGTCATCCCAGATCAGAAAACATTTTCTGCTGTCTCAAACCTTCCCTTTGCAYGTCAAAGAGGGTGGGAGAAGGAAAGCCTTGGCAGGGTGTGAGGGGCCAGTGGGTGCCTGGGGCTGGGGAGCTGCGTGGGGGATTGAGGCAGGGCTGGTGTGCACCCCAGGAGGAGACTGCTCAGTTACCATCATASCCCAAAGCCCACCGAGGATGCTGGAAAGCCCAGGAGAGGTTAAAATCCCTGTGAGAGCACCTGTACGAGCCTTTTCATCACAAAAGACAAGGCAGCTGTGTTTTCTGAGCACTCAGGGAACCAGCAGCTGTGCCAGGTGAGCTCCCTGCCAGCTGGGAGGGAGAGCAGGAGGGAAGAGCAGACAGTGGCRGTGTCTGAGCCCTGCTGACACATCCACCAGCACTGCTGAGCGTTTGCAGCTCACACAGCACAGCCAGGATCAGGAACACAGCACAGCCAGGATCTCCAGATCAGCCTGAGCAGAGGGGCTGTGTGACAGCCAGAGCTTAACCCTGAACAGAATCTCTCTTAGTATAAGGAGGTGACATTTGAAGATGGTTTTCCAAGCCTGTTCATTTCCCCTGGGTGTTTTCAACACGTGTTAAACTGTCCCCATCCCTCTTGGTGCAAGCAGACTCAGAGGCACACTCTGCTGGGCAACTTCTGCTTGTGGAAAATTTCAGATTTCTTTTTTTTGGCACTCAGTGCAGCCCATTTCCCTGTCCGTGRGGCACACTCATGTCTCCAACTGGTGTAGCATTGGAGCATCTCATGGGCTTTCTCTTATGATTCTTGGGGAGCAAAGAGACAATATTCTCCTTTTCCACACACTGCAGAGCCCACAGGTGACTGGTTGGTGCACCAGGGCCTGAGCTCCTTTTTGGAGCAATTCTCCACAGCTTGGCACAGCCACTCCACGGTGCCTCTCTGACATGTGGACATCCTAAATTCTGATTGCTCATGACCTCTATACTACACTTGAGCTGAAGCATGGATTTTTTCAAGTAGTACCCGATTTTTTAAAAATTTGCACTTAAGTAAAAGGGACGAATATTTAGGGTTATAAACAATTTCACACTATTCCCACCTCTTTTGCATAGYGTGAGGGATGCAGAAATAGCCTTCCCCTGAAGGAGAAATTCCCTTTAGTCTGCCTGCTTTTCCCCCTGAAGATACAGTGAAAGCAGGGGATACTCACTGATGGTCAACGTTGTTGTTCTCTGAGCCTGGTGGGCTTCTGGTTGCCTAGGACAGAAAAGAAGACACAGTTACAACACTTTCAAAYCAAGGAAGGKGATTCTRCCCCTCWRCTCTGCTCRTGTGAGCCCCCACCTGCAGTGCTGCATCCAGCTCTGGGGTCCCCAGCACAGGAAGGTCATGGAACTGCTGRAGTGAGYCCAACACTARCAAGTTAAACAGGCAGTACCAAACCAGGGCCTTCCAGAAAACAGAAATGAAAAGCTGTTGTGTCTGTGTGGAAAAGAGGAAAATGATTTTCTGTGTAAGAAGAAAGGGAAGCAAAGGAACTAGGGAGAGCTGTGAAAAGCTTGCAATGCAGAGYCATCACCTATTCCTCTACTGTGTTTCTGCAGGGCTGGATGGGATCGAGTGATTCCTCAGTAAGATCATGTGCTCTTGGAATAGCCAAACCTGTGCTGCCCCAAGGGAATGCACGGGACTGGTGCTGGCAAGTGTGGGAGCAGTGGAGGGGCAGTGCCCCAATACAGGCACTGCTGGTRCAACAGTGAGGACTTCAATCAGTTTTGCACCAATTTAAATCTGTYGGTATTGGTCAGGCCTGTATGTGCCATCTGCTGGGTGGAAATGTCCACCTGGCTGTCTGCAGTTATTGCATGGCACCTGATTTTAATTTGCAAGGAGATTTTTTTTCACAACACTCCTTCCTCAGCTGCTTCAGGGGGGTGGGCAGGAGCTGAGGTTTAAACACCGTGGTCTCAGACACTGCTGGGCAGATAGAGAGGTGCTTGACAGGAAACTGCTCAGCTCTGCCTCTTGCAAGGGCTTTGTGCTCCTCTGGTCCCCTCTGGCTCCCATGCTTCAGCAGATGGGGTGGGCTGCAGCAAGGACACCTCTCTCACGGCACTGGGTCAACATCTCTTCCAGGTGAGCCCTTAGTAGCTTCCAGTTGGGAAGCTGGGAGAAGTTTCTGTCATCTACAGTTATCTCACATCCTAGCTGCCTGCTTAAAATGACGAAAGATGTTGCCAATCTTTTGTAGAGTTTTAGTTYAATATGTGTCAAAAGGCATTCCACATCCTTTCAGAAGAGTCCCTGCTCTTTGGCAACACTTTGTTTTCTCTGGAAGAGGCTGAATACTCTAGAAACAGCTTCTGGGTCCAAGCGGAGACAAGCGTATGTGAGAAAGCTGACAGTGAGGTAAGACAGTTCTCTCCTGGTTATTCAGGATTGTTTCTTGGCAATCTCCCATATGCAACAAGAGCAAGAAGCAGTGCCAGGAGAACAGCATGCTGAGCTGTGATGGCTGACTTCTCCTGGGACTGCATCCCAAAATGCAGCTCCTCATCCATCATCCACTGGACTACTGTTRTGGCCCGAGTTTCCTTCCACCAGGCAAAGAACATTATTCACCCTCAGCACCAATGGAGTTCTTTAGGAGTGCTTTGATGATGTTCTTCCCACAGTGAGAACCCAGCTCCCAATACTTCTGTGCAAAGGTTTGGATCATTTTAGGGAGGGGTTTGTATTGTACAGCAGGTTGTCTGTTTTTTCTTCCTTTGTGGCTGACTCCTCCATATTACGAGCTGTACGTGTTGTGTGGGTGGAAGACAGAATTAATTAGTCATCAGGACAGAGCAGCTCTGGAGAGCAAAATCTGCTTCTCTGTGCAAAACCTGCTCCCACCTTTTCCAAGGGATCTGTCAGCAACAATACTAATTTCCCAAGAGAATTTGGAACTGATCTTTACCGACATTTCATCCAGTGCATGAGTCAAAAATGGTGGCAAGTAAAAACAAAAGGCACCTCCAGCCTCTGTCTGTTCCCTGCCCCCAGAGTCTCCGTGCTTTGGAGCTGCTCCCAATTCCTGCGGGCAGAGGACACTCTGGCGGTGCCGGAGTGGTGACACCGTGTGCCGGGCAGCAGGCAGGGTGTGGAGCACGCTGGGCTGTGGGACACAATAACACTGACCCACCCAGCCGGCTCGGCAGGGCTGCAATGGCCATGCTGCAAGCTCAGCAGATAATCAGTGCTAGCCCTTTATGTGGGTTGGGATGATGGGCATGTCCGGACACTTTAATATTAGGGGTTCCTATCCTACAGCTAAGTAACTAATTGCTGGCCTGGTTGGCCTGTGCCCTGTTAAGAGACAAATGAAGTCAGCTTCTCCTTTCTGCAGCTTGCAGTCATCTTTTTGTTACTCATCTASACCAGGGCATGTCTCCTTGTTTCCCACCCTATTGTCAGCACAGGCATCTCGTGCTGAGGTCTGCTGTGCCACAAACCCCCGCATCACCCCCTCCTCCAAGTTCAAAGGCTTGCATATTAAGCTCAGCCAGCATGTATCCACATCTAATTTAATGTCATGACACGTGAGGTGGAATGGTTTGACAGCCATCCTTTAGGGCAGCAGCTCCGGGAGCAAGGCAGAGCGGAGAGCTGGAAGCAAGAGCTGTTTCTCCCTGCTTTGTGAATGAACGAGAACTCCTGGGGTGCAGCTTCCCACTCCCCCCAATCCAGTACAAATTCCTCATGGGCCTGCCAGCCTTTACCCCTTTCTGTCTGCTGTGAGTCAGGGTGAGAACACCCTTCCCTGGGACCTTCCACAGGGTGATCTGGAGCTGTCTGTGTACCCTTGGAGGATCTAGAGCTGCTCCAAACTGCACTGAAACCACCCAGCTACAGCTTTGACTGTTAACAGTCTCCAAAGTTGGGAGGCCAAGTTGGAGCTCTCTCTGAGATGGTCCCTGTGCTGGCCCCTGAGGGATGCCTAAGCATYATTTGGGAGACTACAAATTGGTCCTGACCAAAAATCACGCCAGCTCAGCGGGGCAGATCATCACGGTCCAGTGCCCGGTGTCTGCTGTGGTATCGTTTACCATTATGGACACAGCCCTGAGATGCAGGAAAAATGCAGATTCTGTGAGCAGCCCAGGAAAAACTCACATCCAAGGCAGCCTGGRGAGCGACTGAGCCACGTAAAATACCTACATGGGAGCAGTGGGGTCTCTGCCAGTGCTGGTCCACCGGGGTGCTTTAATAGTGCAGCGTTTCTGAAGGATGTGAGCCGTACCTCCTTCCCTGCCTCTGCTTGTCCCAAATCCCTCTTCACAACACCCGTGGACTGGACCAGGGGACCGCTCTGAGCCGTAATGCCAACCCGCTGGTGTGGCAGGGAGGGGGGAATATCAGCTGGAGAGCCTTGCAGGGCAGCCTGCAGCCGAGCAGGAGCGCTGGGCTGGCACTGCAGAGGGGCAGCACCCTCCAGCGACACCACCGTGACCGGGGCTGAGCCAGCCAGCACTGCTGGAGACAGCCTCTCCGACCGCACACAGTTACTGCTGGCACAACAAAACAGCTCAGCTAAGGTGCCACAAGGTACCACATGTGATGTATGGCCCCAGCTGCACCCCAGGCAAAGCACTCCCAGCTTTGCTCCGGTCTGCAGCAGCATCCTCTGGCCAGTGGAGGAATTAGGAGCAGGTGGTGGACGGGAAGTGGCAGGGATGCAAGGAGTTCCCACGCTTCTCCTCTCCTGCCAACAAAAACACCAGCTCCCAGCTATTCTGAGCGTGCCCTGGGCTTATTTTTGAGATCACGAATAATTTCCAGGGCAAAAGCAACCCATGCTCTGCCAAGAGAAGGGGGGAGCTGTGGAAAAKACCCAGTCAGCAGTTTTCCAAGTCCAGGTGCAACACAGCTGTGCTGGGAGGGGACAGCACAGCTCGCTGCTTCTGGGCTCTGGTGAAGTTTCAGGTGGTTTTAACAAGACAAGCAATGTAAAAGGAGAGAGGGGGAAACTTTTAACTCAACAACCTCCAGCTGGACATTAACTGCAGAATCTGAAATAATCTGACTTTGGGAAGTTCAAGGAGTCCCAGATGATCAGCTGGACATGACCTTTTCTAAAGGCCCCAGGCWCCCTATGGAAGTGCAGCACAGTGTCTTGACTCGAGGGCATTTGACTACTGACACAACCAGGAAGAAAATGCTGAAATAAATTGCTAACAACATGGAATAAAAAAGATCAAATTTCTGTTTGAGKGAAGCACATTTTAACACGAGTAGGAAAAAATCCCTGAGTTCCTGTAAGAAACTAATGGGGCACGACATTAAATATCCCTTCAGGACCCTTTTGTGTTTGCAGCCAGGACCAGACAGCCACGAGGTGACGCTGTGCCACATCAGTCTGCAGAAATAACATCTGGCTGAAAAGATCAGGCAAAGCCTTGAAGACTTGGATGTTTTAAAAGTATGTGATAGAAGCTCTAGAAGTTGGTGAATACACCTTCTACCTGTGCTGCTCCTGTGCTGCAGCTGGGGTGATTTGCTTACTGAAACCACATCCCGTCTCCAGTCAGGAGGAGCGACAGGTCCACGGAAAAAGCTCTTAAAAACAAGACTCTAACATGTCTGCATTATTCTTTCCTTTCAGGAAACCAGTGGGGAAATACCTGAGGCACAGCCTCTGCCCTGGCTTCCACCAAGAGCTGCCACCCTTGCCCTCTGCTGCAGCAGCACCTGCAAAACCTCAACCCCGTTTTTGTGTCTTGGGCAAAGAAACAAGGAAAAGCACGCACAACTATCYAGAATTGAGAGCAAAACTGAAAACGGCTGCCTGATGCTGACAGAAAGTGTTGGGGTGTGCTCTGAGCCAGGTCCAGGTTTCCCATCAGGATTTGGTTCCCAGCCAGCTGCTGTGAAATGCTTTCATCCTTCTTGGTCTTTACTAATAGCACTATTTGAATATAACMGAGGTGGCTCAAGCCTTTAAATGCAGCTGCATTCTTCTGCACCAGCCCTTGTCACCTGGCCAGACTGCCCACAGGTGCTGCCAGGCTGCTGCTGGATTGCAAATTGTGCCAGGGTTCACTTTCCTACTGTAATACTCCTTGATGCCTTTCCTCCTCCTGCCTCATCTTTCCCCRTTAACTCTGTTGAATTGACTCATCCCTTCTTCTCTGAAATTTCTTTGCTCATCCTCTGGTTTGCACAGCTGAACGGAGCAAAGCAAGCAAGTTCCTACCACAACACAGAAASTACAAATGGCTTGAGAAACTGGCAAGAGTGAGAGAAATTGCCCTCAAAATTTTAGCGAGGAACTAGTGATGCAATGAAGCTGATATTCCTTTCCAGAAACCTCCTCCACCAGCCTCAAGGGAAGGGCGGGACTGCAGTTTGCAAAACAACTTAAAAGACTAAATCGAACCCAGTAAACAACTAAAACCCGGTGCTGCAAACAGTTTCCTCCCTCCTTTTCTCAGGCTAGTGACTTTTAAGGTCTCAAGGAGTCAGAAYAGTAAGCCCATGACTGCTGTCTCTGCCATTTCAGGTTCAGGTAAATAAAGTGCTACCAAGAAAAGCTTCAACTTTGCCCTGAAACAATCAGAGACTTCTCTTGTATGTCTTTTATAGCTTTGAAAAATACTGGTAGTTCTTTGCTCTCTTTGTCTGGGTACAACCAAAGCTGTGAACTTCCTCCCAAACAAGAGGTGGCAGCAGCAGCAGCTGGATGAGGAGCCACAAGATGCATCAGCATCCTCATGGACATTTCTGTGCTGGCAAAGCACATTCCYACCTGCACCACGACCTGGGGTGGCTGAGGTGATGCCACAGATTCCTCACCATCATTCCTACCAGAGAGGGAAGTCTGAAGCRGGGAGTGGGGCATGTGAGTGATCCCCCCATGCTACCCCGAGGGCCAAATTCTAAATTCCTCAGCCTCTGTAGTTTGCTCCTTGGCATTGGTGCATTGGTATCTACTGCCACGGACTCTCTACTGACATTAGAAAAGAAAGATGAGGGCAGCCCCACTGGCTTTCTGATGTGTTATTACCCAGAATATACATCACTTCAGAACAGAGCTAAAATACTGCTTTATGCATAGGAAAACTCACAGCTTATATAGTTATTATTTTTAAAGATCCAGCCATGATATTCACATGTGTAAAGACAGGGAAAATGGATAGAAGCAGCCTGTATTCTCATAGAAAAAGACAATGGGAGAAGTCAAGAGGATTGCTCATAAATGAGAGTCCCTCAGAGGAGAAAGCAGTGCTGGAGTGAGCTCTGTTCTGCAGGAGGCTTTGGAGTTTAAAAAGCAAGAAAAAATGTCAATATATGATCTCTATTTTTGCCTCAATTTCCAAACCTTACTTTGAGGTTTTTCTTTAAAACCTATCAAAATACAGAGTTCCCATACTGAACCCTGCCAAGTTTCCTAACGGAAAAATTATTTTGTATTAAAATTACCCTTAACCCCTGGATGTCCAGTTCAGTGATGGAAATTATGCACTTCTAAAAACCGAGGCATGTATGGGAGAMTGTTCCTGGGTCCTAAATATTTCTTTCCATTTTTGAATTTGTTACTTTATTCTGACGACTTTTGTGCATCTGAGGAGAGCAATGTTTATCTAACAAAACACAACTTCCAAAGCCAAGCTAAGATAAAAGACGTCGATGATTTTTGGCCTCATCACCAGATGATATACATGCTGCTGTTATTCTTGGATTGGGAAAAAAAAAAAAAAAACAAAAAAAAACAAAATCACCAGATGATATACATGCTGCTGTTATTCTTGGATTGGGAAAAAAAGACCAAAAGATAAATCTCGACTCCCTCGGAGGCAAATCCATTATTTGTTACACAGAAAGAGACTGAAATGTGCCTTTAGGAAGAGCCAGACTACAGCTGCAGTGGATTGGMAAATATTAAAGGCAGCTTTATGTTCACATTTTAAAACTTGTTTACAAGTTTGACCCAGGGAAAAGTAGGAGCCGAACTTTATGAAGTCGAGCTATTTCCATTAAGTCAGGAAAAGAAACTTCCAATGGCACCGGGCGACTGAAGAACGGGATGGCCCCTATAAAGACCGTGTTTCCCTTGCACCAGAGGCAGAAAATGCAAAGAGAGCGGCAAAGAGAAAACGCAACGAGAGCATCGAGCCTGGCTCGGAGCGAAGATCAAAAGAACCGAGCGCCGCTGATGTTCGGAGGAAGCCACGGCCGGGCGGGGTGGCGCCGGCTCCGGCAGGGCTGCCCCGGGCGGCGGGGACACCCGAGCGGGGCTGGGCTGGGCTGGGCTGGGCTGGGCTGGGCTGGGGGGTCCCGGAGGGTCGGGGTCCCGTTCGGAGCCGGGCGGACACTTACCGCCTGCAGGAGCGGGGCCCCGCCGCCTCCCGCCGCCTCCGCGCTGCTGCCGCCGGCACCCGGGGCTCTGTGGCCGGGGCCGGGCGGTGCCGCCGCCCCCTCGCTGTCGGTCCCCGGCACGTCCCGGCTGTGCCCCGCTCTGCCCGCGATCCCCCCGGCACCTCGCCGCCGGCTGCTGCCGCTGCCCATGGCCGGAGCCGGGGGGAGCGCTCCGGGCCGCCGCCTCTCCCGGCCGGGGCGGGCGCGGCGCTGCAGGAGCCTTTCGGGGGGAGAATCCCACCCCGGAGAGCTCCGGGAGCCTTTCGGGAGGAGAATCCCACCCCAGAAAGCTTTGGAAGTCTTTCGGGGGGAGAATCCCACCCCGGAGCGTCCCGGGAGCCTTTCGGGGCGAGAATCCCACCCGGAGCGCTCCGGGAGCCTTTCGGGGCGAGAATCCCACCCGGAGTGCTCCGGGAGCCTTTCGGGGAGAGAATCCCACCCCGGAGTGTCCCGGGAGCCTTTCGGGGGGAGAAGCCCAGCTCGGACACCTCCGGGAACCTTTCGCGGGGACAATCCCACTCCGGGGCCGGCGGCGGGAGCCCTTCGGGGGAGAATCCCACCCCGGGGCCGGGGGAGGGAGCCGGCGGCGCAGGGGAGGGGAACGCGGCCGCCTCTGATCGCGGGTTCTGGGCACGCTGCCGCGCTCGCCGTCCGTTCCAAAACTTTCCATCCCAGCCCAGCCCGTTAGCTCGGGCCTCCCCAGCACCAGATCCTTACACAGGTCTGCCGGAGCAGGGGGAGGACATTGTCATCTTCGGGGATCATGCAGCAGGAGCAGCAGGAGCAGCCCTGCTGGGCTAAATTCAAGCACACCTCTCGCAGACGGGTTTTGCAGACCTTTGCAGAACAGCCCAGGCCGGGGGATGCTCTGTGGGACAGGTTCGCGGCACTAAGCGGAGGTTCCGGCCGTGTTCCTGGAGTTTCAGGAAAGGCCCCGCGCAAAGGACGCGCCAGCCGGGCACCCCCTTAGCCCATGCCCACAGACGGGGTCACTCTGCTTCCCAACAGCCCGCCGAGCCTGTGGAAATGATCCCTCAACCATCCGCCACTGCTCTTTGCTTTCAGCAGTAAAAYATTTGCACAACTGTTGGACATTCTGGAAGATTACAGATATTAAAGGCGAGGCTGTCATTCCCGCCAGGGAGGGAGAGAAGGAGAGTGCAATGGTTGCTTGGTGTCCAGCCTGTTCTGCCTCCTCTCCTTCCAGAGGCTGAAAAATTCTGGAGGGACAGAGGTGTAATTCCTCCTGCTGCCCCTCAGCACTGACTGCAATGATTGCATCTACCAGTCCTTCATTCTGCTAGCTGTTCCTAAACTGCTCAGCTAAAGCCCAAGAGTTTGTAAGGGARCAGCTGGAGGAGAGAATACTAGGAATGGTCACATCATTGCCCCAAGRATGAGCTTGTACCAACGGGGGCTTATGAGAAAGATGGGGACAGACTTTTTACCAGAGCATGTACTGATAGGACAAGGATACKGTTTTTAACTGAAAGAGGGCAGATTTAGACTAGATGTAAAAAAGATATTTTTTACAGTGAGGGTGGTGAAACACTGGTACAGGTTGCCCCRAGAGGTGATAGATGCCCCATCCCTGGAAACATTCMGGGTTGKGTTGGACAGGACTCTGAGTGACTGGGTCTGGTGGAATGGCAGGGGGTTGAACTAGATGACCTTKAAAGGTCCCTTCCCACACAAACTGTGACTCTGAGAAGGATGTTCTGTAGGCAGAGTAGATCATCTGGGAGCATGGGGGAGTGGTGTCACGTGCGGAGCCCTGGGTCCACAGCCAGGGCAGTCACAAGGAAGTTGTTTTGGATCTGAGGCAGGTCTTGGAGAAAGGACAAGTGATGAGGTCTGGTTGCTGAAGAGGAGATGGGGGAGCTGAATATGGGATTAAATAGCCTCAAACAAAATGTCCCAAGGGAACAGGCTCTGCAACCATCAGAGACAAAAATTGTTCTTAACAAGAACTGAGCAAATTCCTCCTCCTCCATCCCTGCAGGCTGTCTCTGAAGGAGTGGAGCCTCCTGGAAAGTTTCCTGGCTGCCCCCATGGAAACAGTTCATTCCAGGACAGTTCTTCAGATTCACTTGGAAGCAATGCTGGCTCCATAAAGCAGCTGTCAAAATGAGCCAAATGCCTCATGTTTGGAAGCAGATCACTGCTGGAGCCAGGAAAGCGTTTGAGCAGAGGTGACCTCAAATGCTGCTGTGGTTTAGCAGTGACACTGAAGGACTCTGAGGCCATTCAGTGCTATTTCCCTGCCCCTAAAGGACTGATGAGAATTAAAGAGAAAATTTTCCAAAAGCTAAAGGCCTGRTAAGTACATGACTCCTCAGAAAAATCAATTTTGGCAAATTCCTCTTTATTAGCCTAGTAGCTATTAAGACCATTTCCCAGCAGAGCCAGTGGATAATATCTTGGCTGATCTTCAAGAGCAAGGGTTGGAAGTGTGCAGTGCAAGTGCTGAATATGGCACGTGGATCAATTTTGCATGGCACCCAGCCAGAGCAGCAAGGAGCCAGAAGCCTTCACATCAAAAGCACAGCATTTATGGAGCCAGTGGTGCTGCCTCCTGGCTTTTCCCAAATCCTGTGGGACCACAGGAGCACTTCTGGACAATGATGCTATGGTAGATGGCCTCTTCTGACTCCTGCTGTGCTGCTTCCTCAGCTGCTGCTTTGGGAAAGAAGAGGATACAATGCTGTGGGTGCCCTTTGTTAGGCAGCATGCTTCAACCATGCCTTCKAATAAAATATTTAATTATGGAGACATAAATGCATGCATGCATATGCACACACATCAGTACATATCAATATCCRAGTCTTTCCAAGCCATCACATTTATTTGAGAAATGTGGGATTACTTTAAGATTACCATTATCCATTGAAGCCACTAGCACTGATTTACCCTGCTGTGGAATTTGACTGGACTTTTATGAGCAAAGGCCAAAGTGGGCTTGGGGAATGCAATTGCCAGGACAAAATATGACTTTCATATCTTATTTTAAGATTGCTCAGTCCCCAATTATGAGACTAAACTGTCTCACTGTTATCTCATGACTGTCCTCATGCCATGTCTCATCATATCCCCAGACTATAGGACTGTCACTCTTCTCTGTCCTGACAATCTTTCATCTGTGAAGAGCAGGGCATGTGAAGAATTGCAGCCAGCTCCAGCAATCATTTTTGTTCCCTGCCTTCTCTCCAGTCCAATCCTGGTTGCTGCAGGATGATCTCACAGACTCTTTCATACACCTCACCTTAACCTCAGAGTGAGACCCCATAATTTAGACTTGTTCTCTGTTAAAGCCAAGGAATTATTGTTCTTCTGTGATGCAGAGCCTGAAATTTTTGCTGTCTCAGGTCTTTCCTCTCTGTCTTCAACCCCTGGAGCAGCCCTGTGGCCASAGGACAGATCTCCATGGCTGTAGCCAGTGTAAGGACCAGCCCAGCCCAACCCAACCCATCCCTTGCACTCGGCAGCGTCGGCACAAGGGGGGGATGGGGAGGATGGAAGACAGACATGAACACACCTTGTGCCCCACAGACACGTTGCCCCAGCAGGGAGAACACCCTGAGAAGGTCCCAGCAGCAGCATTTGGGAGGGATGTTGTGCTGGGCTGTGCTGCTGTTCACCCTGGTGAGGTGTGATAGGCAGCTGCAGCACCACCAGGAGTTATGATGGGAGCACCAGAGAGCCAAACACGAGGAGTTTCCTTGCTGGGTAAAATAACAGGCTCCCTTTGACACAATAACCTAAACAGAACCTGGGGAGCTGTGCTTTTCCAGGCTTTTSTTCCCACCAGAAATTTTCTGGGCTATTTGCAGTTAGTTCACTGAAGGAGCTGATCTTGTAACAATAARTATCACAGCACATGTGTTTAGATTTTGTTCTTTTCCTAATGCTTGCTACGTTTTCAGCAAGTCTGCAACAGACACAGATACAATCCCTTGTTATAACAATTCTGGAAAATTATGAGGGGTTTTTTTTTGTGGTCACATGTATTAACCACAAAATGGCTTAAAATGCAAAGTTAAAATACAAAATATCAGAATGAATCTCTCCCTCTTGCTTGCTGACTAAAAGGATGATTTCTCTCATGCTTCCCAGGTATCCCTCACAGGGTATCCACTTCCCTGGAATGCAGCATGGGGAGATGCTGCCTCTTCCTGTCTGTCCACAATGGCTCGGATGCTGGCTGACCACTACCAGGACCTGGACACTCCTGCCCTGCACCATGAGGACACCAGGGCACCTTTGGAGAGAGTCTGGAGATCTTGGTACAGATTTTCACTCTGGATTTGTTAGAAGAAGCCCAGTGAATGTCCATCAGAAGGCTGTGTAAGTTTCAAACAAGCTTGGACAGCTTTTGCCATGCTCTAAAAAGAAAATGGTAAGATTTGGTCTCCATGGAACAAGCAGGAAAACCTTCATCTTCCCCAATGCATATTTCTGGGTTGGTGTTACCCTTCAGTGAACAAGTTTATATATTAATCTGCCTTTCTAACATTAACTTGTATAGCAAAGGCAATGTGTACCTTGCTTGAAGCAGAGCTGGCATCCAGTGCTTGGCTTTCCAAGTGTTTTTTTGATATAATCTTCACTTGGGTTTTTCTACAGTTCGGGCCCAAAACCTTCTGCAAAATTTATTTGTAATGTGGACAGTTCTTCAGGTATTTGCTTTGGTTCAGAGACCTTATATCTGGTGGGTCTGAGCCCTGTCCTGACCTGATGTGCTGTRAAATTCAGTGTACGGAAGAAGCTGGACTTGAGAAGAGAGCACAGAGCCAGCCTTGTCTGCCTGGGGACCCAAAGGAGGAGGAAATTGGCTTTGCCTTCACAAGTTCTCCAGAGAAAAATAACTGCAAGAGAGAGGCCTTGGAGATGCAGAGAGGAAAGGTCCAAGAGGCTGAGTTGGAAGGTGGTGGTTAGGAGTTAATGTTTCTAAACCTGCTTCATCTCTGCTGCTGCTCAACGTGCTGCCTCATGCTGAACATACCTTTCCTGGCTGAGATGGGCTGGAAAGGTGRGTGCTTTGAAGACCAATTCCCCTGATGAAGAGCCATCCTTCAGCAGCATGGGGCCAGGATGCAGTGGGGAAACCACAGCTGGARGAGGGAGGGAGGTTGCCCCTGTGTAATTAATGGAGCTGGGCTTTAGCCCAGGGCTGGAGTTTGACTCATCTAATTCACAAAAAAAACTGCTGAGAACAGATGTTTAAATATAAAAGCATATTTTTTAGGAGTGTCCTTTCAACACATCTTGGATTTTGCTGCAACCTAAACATTGGCAGTAAACACTTCTGTTCTCCCTGCTTCCCACATTTCAAGGGAAGGGCTCTGCTTTGT